AACTTTAAAAAAAAAATAATAGGAGTGCCTGGGTGGCTCAGTAGGTTAAGTGTCCAACTTCAGCTCAGGTCATGATCTCACCGTCTGTGAGTTCAAGCCCCACATCAGGCTCTGTGCTGACAGCTCAAATTCTGTGCTGCTTCTCTCTCTGCCCCTTCTCTACTCATGCTCTGTCTCTTAAAAATGAATAAATGTTAAAAAGTAAAAATAAAAAAGTTAATAATAAAGTCTTTTAAAAAAGGAAAAAGACCTAATGATGAATTATCTCCAGTCCAGTTAAAATATCTAAATATATACAACAGAGGTATTAATAGCAATAAACATTTGCACAGCATTTTATAGTCTTTATAAAGTGACCTCACTTAATTTACTTCATCCCCATTAACCATGAGAAAATGAGCAGAGATTTTAATTCCCATTTATTGGACTAAAAAAAATAATTCAGTGATGGTAACTTGTCCCTTTACTTAAAGTCAGTGGCCGAGCCAAACTCAAATCTAGATCTTGTATTTTTTTTTTTTCTTTTAAACATTTATTTATTTTTGAGACAGAGAGACAGAGCATGAGCAAGGGAAGGGCAGAGAAAGAGAGGGAGACACAGGATCTGAAGCAGGCTCCAGGCTCTGAGCTGTCAGCACAGAGCCTGATGTGGGGCTCAAACTCATGAGCCGTGAGATCATGACCTGAGCTGAATTCGACTGCTTAACTGACTGAGCCACCCAGGCGCCCCTAGATCTTGTATTTCAAAGCTGCTCACACCTCCTTCACACCCTACACCAAGTACTTTTACAAAAAAACTAGACAAAAATCCCTACCCTTGAGGAACCTGGAGTGATCTGTCAATTATATATTCAGATTGTTACATATTTAATTCTAAGATGGAAAGAACGTACAAAAGTATATAACGTAGACCCTGGCCTCAAGAAACCTTTAAAGGAAAAAAAAAAGGGGGGGGGGCGCCTGGGTGGCTTAGTCGGTTAAGCGTCCGACTTTCGCTTGGGTCATGATCTCGCGGTTCGTGGGTTCGAGCCCCGCGTCGGGCTCTGTGCTGACTGCCAGCTCAGAGCCTGGAGCCTGTTTCAGAGTCTGTGACTCCCTCTCTCTCTGACCCTCCCCTGCTCACGCTGTCTCTCTCTCTCTCTCTCCTAGAAATAAATAAAAAACACTAAAAAAAAAAAAAAGAAAAGAAACCTTTAAAGGTCTATAGCAATTTGAAAAAGGAAGACTTAGGATGCCTGCCTGGGTGACTCAGTCAGTTAAGCACCCAACTTTTGATTTTGGCTCAAGTCATGATCTCACGGTTAGGGAGTTCAAGCCCCAAGCTGGGCTCCATGCTGACAGTGAGGAGCCTGCAAGTCCTAGAAAACAAGAACAATGTCTTACCTACTTTGTCCATGGTTTGCTTATGCTATTCACAGCCTGTATAGCTCAGTAATTTGTTGGTTGTCTGTTGTTGAATCTTATAGACTGGGTGAGATATGAAAGAGTATCAGACCCCATCCTTTTTTCCCCACGGGCTGAACTTTTGTTTATGTTTTAAAAAAAAAATCAGCCAAATCATCAAAAAGCACCTAGACAATGTAACAAAGTTTAGGTACCCCACTTCTAGGCTATACTTGCTAACTAAACATTTCACAACAAAATAAAGATTTTGAACTACATTCCATTTCAAAGCTGCCATGGGGCCCTTGGGTGGCTCAGCTGGTTCAGCATCCAACTCTTGATTTCAGCTGGGGTGGTGATCTCACAGTTCATGGGATTGAGCCCCTATTGGGCTCCCCACTGACAGAGTTTGAGATTTTCTCTCTTCCTCTTTCTCTGCCCCTCTCCCACTTGTGTGTGCATATGCGTGCTATCTCATAAATAAAATGAAACTTAAAAAAAAAAAAAAAGACGCCAGAAGGTTATGAAACAATCTCAAGAACCAAATCTAGTCCAACTTCCACAAAATACAATTATCATTCACTGTTGCTTTATTCCAAATTAAATACACCCTCTGCCTCTACAATAAGCAATGGTGCATAGTATCTCTCATCAACAGGTCTTTATATTGTTGCCTTCAGACACCTTGTCAACCTATCTTTTCCACTGTAAGTCTTTTTTTTTTTTTAAACAATTTTTAATGGTTTGTTTTGTTTTGGAGAGAGAATATACAAGGAGGGGGGAGTGGCAGAAAGAGAGAGAAGTAGACACAGAATTTGAAACAGGCTCTAGGCTCCGAGCTGTCAGTGCAGAGCCTGACACAGGGCTCGAACCCACAAACCACGAGATCATGACCTGAGCCAAAGTTGGACACTCAACTGACTAAGTCACCCAGGGTCCCTTAAGTTTGTTTGTTTGTTTGTTTGTTTTACCACTAGCAATCACTTATCTGCCATACACAATAAAAGTTCTTTTTAAAGTTCTTTTTTTCTCTAATTTCTGAAGTATTTTAATAAATACGAAGGGAGAATAAATGGTAATAAGAAAATTCAAGTTCAAAAATAAACTCAATTTACAAAATATAATTTTCTATCCTGCCACATATAATCTCATTCTAGAGTCAGCATACCCTATTTCTCAATCTATTTAGTAACAAGATATTTGCACTGTAGCTTCCAAGGACTGACACTCTTTGTAAAAACCTTAGATAGGTTGAAATCATTTTTAAATATTAAAAAATCCTGAAGAGGTCAGGCTTAAATTTTAGTGGATGGTTGCATGTTAAAAATGTTAAGAGTCCTAAAAGCAAATAAAAAGGAGAACTAAAAGGATTTACAGAGCTATGAGCTCAGAAATTACATGTAGTGACTAGTCTACAAAATACTAAAAAGGCATTATCATTTTCATTAGATCACCAAGGCTTTCTTCAGTGGTTATCTATACCAAAGGTTTGGTATAATGAAAAAAATCTGTCATGAATGACCTTAACATGCCATAAATGTAGCTACATTCTAGGCCAGATCATTTGAGTATTACAGAAAGAACTATGCAAGAGAAGCATGCACACTGGTGATTCTAACACTAAAATAATAAAGATCCATTGATAAGACAATTAAACTTGGCCTTTAATGTTGGCAACAGAATAAGGCTCCATTCTTTTCAAGGGTAAAGATACTGTACCAGCCATTCAAAACAGATGGGCCTTACACAACAATGTTAATTTAGTTAACTACTACTGAACTGTACACTTAAAAATGGTTAAGATGGTAATTTTATGTTATGTGTTTTCTATCACAATTGAAAAGAAAAAAAGAGATGGGCTTCAAATTCCCCTTGTATTTTAGACGAATAATAGATTTATTAGTTACTGAATGCTTATTATATGCCTGCAACCATGGAGATAGAGTTAAAATATGGATAAAACCTAATTCCTTATTTCAAGGAGCTCAAAGATAAAAACAGAACAAAGATAAAAACAGAAAAAAATTCTAAGTATTCTTAAAATTAAATTTTTCTACCACCTCAAAACAAGTGAATATCCAATTACCTCTCTTTTCTTAAAGTCACTCTTTCTCACTCCTCCTTTCTCTGCTAGGTGTACTTTAAAGTCTCTGATGCTTACAAATGAAAAATTCTGGGATTCAAACATACTTGCCAGCCCCTATGAAATGAAATGCCCCCAAATTCTACTCCCTCGTGTGCTTGAACAAAAAGTAAGAATCATCAATGCTTCTGGGACTCTCTGAATAGGAGGATAAATATAACAGGGAAAGATCAAATCCAGTCTTGAGACCATCCTCTGAGAAATCATCTTTCAATTCAACCCAACACTCACAACTACATAAACTACTGGGGCAAATTCTATCCTTTCAGTCTTAATTACCCCTATCCTACTGGACTCTTAAAAATCCACGATCTACACCATACAAATAAATGGCTCTTAATTAAAGAGTACTCTTGGTGTCAACTGCAATGAGTTCTTGTGCTACCCATAAAACAAGTTTAATGATAATCAAATCTTTCTCCCCACCCCCAAAAACAGGTTAGGTCTTAGTAATAAATACTAATTTGAAATTTGTTAAGCATCTCCTTTGTGTCATCAATAAATAAAATGTGTAGAATTATAATTTAAAAAGGAAAGGTTTTAAAGACTAGAACATTCTGCTTAATGCCCTGTCCTATGCCCTTTAACACACACACTTGAATTGGTTAGATTCCCATTCAAATTGTGGAAATCTATTCCAAAAATCAAAGAATTAGTCAACAGAAGCACACCTCTCCCCAAAGACCCCTTTATACAACGAGACCCTTCACGACCAGAAATAGAAGTGCAATGATTCTCATCATTTCTGAGGTAGTGTTCACAGAACACTACCAAGAATAAATAGTAAGTAGCTCTTGAACATGAGGGAGCTATAAAGTGCATGAAGTTGGTTTCCAAATAGCAAGAACTCAAAAGCAGAAATATTAGTATTTTGTTTTTACCCAAATGATTAGTATAGTTAAAAGAAAAACTGAATGCAATGGAAACTTCAAGCCATATATTTTCCAGAGCCTGATCTGAACCTGAGAAATGACCTCTCTGCTCAGAGAGCCCTACGAAACAATCCTCTGCTTCCATCTTATGTTTCATATGGGTCAGTTCTTCTCTCTACTACTACATGGATTCTGACTGTAGAGAAAAAGAGCAGGGCAATCACCAGCTTCAGGGAGAATTCAGAAGGGCAAAAATTAAATTCTGCCATTGAAGGGCTCCCTTTATAATACTGAAGCCACAATACAACATCGCTAAATGACACAACCCCATCAAAAATATTTAAAACCAATTGAGCCGTACACACACAATGTTTGACTTGAAAGTATTAATGACACAGCAGCTTACTCTTGCAAATTATGACGTTAATAGTGACTTAAAATATTGTTATAGGAAAAGTATAGACTATTCTAGGGGAGAAAAAGCAGGGGGGGAAAGCCCAAACACTTTTTCTTAAAAAGACAATATATTCAGGTAGAAGATCAAGTAAGAAACATTGTTTTCTTTCTTTCTTTCTTTCTTTTTGTACATTTAAAAAACTTACCCTGAAGAGATTTTCCCAATCCCTGGCCCAGCTTCCACCCATGTTTCTGGAGTAAGCGATGTCCAATATTATCCTGACAGACAGAACAGAGAGACAAACCAAAAATATTCCAATAATATATTCTTCCCTTCCTAGTGACATTTAAACAGGTGATGAGCAAGAGATAATTCTACATATATGCATGCAAAAAGATGCTAATAATAGGGTAAATGTGCCCAATAAAAGGGGCATATATGTAAAAAGAAATGCTGGCCAGTATTTTATATGGGAAGAACATAAGGGTGAGGGTCCTTTCTGATGGTGTGCTGGGCAACTTTTGTACATAACACTTTAAAAAGGAGAAAAAAGGGAAGGGGAAAAGGGGGGAAGAATACATTTATGAAGTTTAAAACTAACATTAAAAAGCATAAAATCAAGGTTCTTATACAATCATATCCACCACCTAGACAGCACCACTTGAAGTTTTTTTGTGTTGTTTTTTAAAGAAATTCTACATTGTGTTTAGTTATTTTGCTTATGTGTCAGGCTTTCATGATACAAAGTAAGTTGTAAGTGTAAGACTGCCCCACCACTAGAAATGAAAACACAATCAGAGCAAAATCCAGGCTAGACTTGATTGGTTTTTTTAATATATATATATAAATATAAATATTTAACTAGCATGCAGCCAATATTAAACTGAAAAAACAGTGAGGTTAGTAAAACAAGAAATTAAATTGATTAAACAGAAAAATAAAATGAGCTCAAGCACAGACTGAGTGATGCATTTCAACATGTAATCTAACAAAAATGCTAAAATGTTAGAATGAAACAGGCCTAGCAATAAGTTAACAGTAAAGAACCATTAGTGCATGTACGGGGAAAAACCAATATACATAATGTCTCATCTTCCTAGGAACACACCAGAAAAGATAATTCAACGAAAATTGCATATAAAGACACCAGAAACAACAATTAATGTCAGCTTTTAAGGGTTCAAGATCTTAGAAGCCTCTGTATATCTTTGTCCCATTTGCTTTTTACAAATGTTGTGAAATATGAAAACAAAACTAAACTAACCATTAACTACATCAGATAAAATGCTGCTATACTCATCCAAAGGGAAACATTTTAAAATTATAAACACAAAGGGTTCTATATGCATTAAAATGTAATTTACAATAGTAACCTAGTTGTCACCATTTGAAAATAATCTTATTTCCTAAAATCAATGTATAAAGCTAAAGACATAAATCTGATTTAAAACCAAACACCTCCTATTAAACTGCTTTTTATCTTCTAGGTTCTATTTTCAATGATAAAATGCTCTTTAGAACTGTAAAGGAAAGGGGCACCTGGGTGGCTTAGTCGGTTAAGCGTCCGACTTTCGCTTAGGTCATGATCTCGTGGTTCGTGGGTTCGAGCCCCGCGTCGGGCTCTGTGCTGACTGCCAGCTGAGCCTGGAGCCTGTTTCAGTCTGTGACTCCCTCTCTCTCTGACCCTCCCCTGCTCACGCTGTCTCTCTCTCTCTCTCTCTCCTAGAAATAAATAAAAATATTTTAAGGAGAAAAAAAAAGAACTGTAAAGGAAAAAAATTATTTTACGATGGTCTTTTCTGACAGTAAGTTAGAAGAGGAAGATTTAGCCTTCCCAATGTTCTGTTTTGAGGGGGTGGGGACAATATTCTCCCACAAGTTTATGACAGTGTGCAAACTGGAAAACTCAGCTGACCAACTGATTATTCACTGATCAGGGTAAAATAAAGATCAGGATACCTTTTTAAAAACAAAAATGAGGAGGGGCACCTGGGTGGCTCAGTCGGTTAAGCGTCTGACTTCGGCTCAGGTCATGATCTCATGGTTTATGGGTTTGAGCCCTGCGTCGAGCTCTGTGCTGACAGCTAGCTCAGACCCTAGAGCCTGCTTCGGATTCTGTACCTCCCTCTCTTCTCTGACCCTCTCCTGCTCACACTGCCCCCCCCCCTCAGAAATAAATTTAAAAAAAATTGTTTTTAAATGAGGCAAACGATAATGGAAAATTTGTTTCTAAAAAAAAAAAAAAAGGAAGAAGAAGAAAAAAATCTGTTTCTAAAACAAAAGATATTATTGTTTTAAACATATATAGGGGCACCCAAGTGGCTCAGTCCATCCAGTGACTCTGGATTTTGGCTCAGATCATCATGATCCCAGGGTTTTGGGATAGAGTCCTGCATTGGGCTCCAGGCTCCATGCTTGAGATTTTTTTTCTCTCTCCCTCTGCCCCTCTCCCCCATTTGTGTGCGCGCTCTCTCGCTCTCTCTCAAATAAATAAATGAAACAAAAGGTCACTAGAAATTACTTTTTGCCAGGAACTGAATTAGAAAATGCCATGGTTATGTATAATCCAAAGCGATAACTTCCATATTACTAGACATCACAAAAACTTTTTAAAAAATGATAAAGTCTTACTACAAGTAATGTTTACAGAAAATGAAAAAAGAGGACTTTATTATACTACTATGAATATAAACTTACCTGTACATAAAATCCTTACTTTATATCATAACTCCTACAGATGAATAACTATGGAAAGGACAAGGATAACAGAATGACTCTAAGATTATGTAGTTGACTAAATTTTTGTTTAATCTTTTAATAGGCTAATATACTTTGCACAAAGATTTAGGGTATTAAACCATGCTGACAAAAATTGTTGCTCCCTTTTTTTATTTAAGAGAACTCAATCTTTGGCTAAGTGGAGATGAGACATTATGCTGACTGTGTTATATTATGAATGCACTAAAATAAACAGACAGATGAAGCAGTATGCTATTTCCAAAAGCAGTGCAAGTGGAGTGAAAGCATTTCCATACGAACCTGGCTTTAAAAACTGGGCTGTCAAAAGAACAGTTAAATGTAACACAAAGTAAGAAACTGTCCAATCACTAATGGTCGTTTATTTTTTTTGTCTTGTTTTCAATTCACTGCTTGCAATTAATGTATTTATTAAAGAAGAGTGAAAGCATAAGTAAATTCACGAGTCAAGACCAGCTGAGAGGTTCAAGAGCAGCGTGTTGTGACTGACAACAGTGAAAGGAAAAGCAAATGTTAAAGGGAGAGGAAGAAAAAAGAAAACTTTAGGATTATACACATTAGCACCACTTTTACAAAACCACTCAAGATGGCTGTCACCTTATCAAAAAAAAAAAAAAGCTATTGATACATAAAATGGTAGTGGCATTTCTCAAATTTTAGGTGAAAACTGTTCTTTAATTAAATCTACTTCCCTAAGTATGAATAAGGAATGAAATGTCAGGGTCTGTATTAAAATTAATATGCCACTTTATGTCCTTATGATTATAACAAAGGCAACATAAACAACGGACATATCTCCCAAAACCTCTTCCCCTCACCAACCTGAGAGATTAAGTGAATGACTAATACAGAAAATCTGGACCTTTCCTATCATTCCAGACTACCTGCTTTTGGAGGAAAAAAGGCAGCTCTGTGACTCTGCAGAAAGGGCTAGTATTCAGTATGGTCCCTTTTCCTACCAAAAAAAGAAAAAAGGTTTTATAAACACTTGTCAAAAATCCAGTAGGCTCAGGGGTGATGGATAACACAAGGCAGGCACACCAAAATACGTCATAACAAAGTAGAACAAAGCAGACTTGCCTATCCCTGAAATGATCAAAATGTTCACTCAACATTCTCTGTGAAAGAACAAGGGACTCACTCATAAGCCTGTGAAAATAATCTACTCTGTTTGGAGTTGTGATTTTGCTAATTAGTCCCATGGATGTTATTTATAACACTAAATTGGAGTAATTTAAAGCCCAAACAGGTAATCTAGACATTACAAGGGCAACAAACACGAAGTTGGAAATAAATTTACTATTTCAGTCATTATAGTCGTAACTAAAAAATCTTTGTTTTTATTTTAAAAAATAAAATATAAAGTTTGAGGTTGGATTATAATCTCATTGAACCAAAAATAAGTAATAGAATTTTTTCTTTTTTTAACCACTGGTTTATAATTAATAAATGGGCATGACAATGACAGGTTGTTTATAAATTAAAGGCACATGGGAGAAATTCTATCCATCTTACCTACCTACCTACCTACCTACCTACTTACTTAAGTAAACTCTATTCCCAATGTGGGGCTTGAACTCACAACCCCAAGATCAAGATTCTCATGCTCTACCAACTGAGCATGAACAAGCCAGGAGCTCCAAGGCAAATACTAATTTTAAATTAATTGATAAGGCAACTGAACTTTGCCAACGGGAGACTGGCAAACAAACTAGTTTTGCACCTGATTCACAGAGTTCCCACAAGCTATTTGTTACTCTCTGTGCTTAAGACCAAAACAGTGGCAGTGTGCCATTTTCTTTGGTCAGGCATGAAGTTCTTAATTCTGATCAAACCATAAAGCTGAGCTGAAAACTCAAACTTTTTTACACCTAGATTACCTCAATTGGCCTTTTCCCCCCCTACTTCTAAACTTAAATATATAATTAAAATTCTACATTTTTACCCTTTGTTCCCTTCTATTACATGTATAAGAAAGGAGAATATAATTTTTAAAAGGGAAGATCTTTGAAAGCAAGAAATATAAGTACTATAAACAACTATCAACATGCTAAAACACAATACTAGAAAAAACAAAAACAACAACAAAAGCCTCATTTTTGTTTCAGCCACTTCTCAACATTTTTATTTATTAACTATCAACTAGAAATTTTCCCAAGAAATTTTCTCTGCTCCATAAAGCTGTATTCTGTCATAGTAACAATGATCATTTTGGCAACAGCACCACCAATCTGTACAATGGGAGCCTGCCAAAACACAGATAGAAATTTACTTTATTGTATGAGGCTGATTCCAGTTTTTATAGCAAGAAATAGATATTCTGTCTCCAGAGATAACTATATTACAATTATGTCAGTGACTCGATGAATATTAACTCCACAATGAATTTTCTTTTAGTTGACAGCAATATTCAATTTACACCATTTGCCCATTTTCAACAGTGACAAAAATTGTAAGTCTCTTGAGTGGATTGTAAGCTTTGCTGATTGTGTATTAAAGACTCTATAAGCAAAACCCAAATGCTACTAGGTGAACCCATGCAAACAACAAGTTGTAAAAATTCCCGAAACAAAAAATCTATAGCTCACTACAGATGACACAATGAAGACTAGAGAGAAAAGCCATATAGTAATGCTACACCATTCAGCTCCAAGAAGCACATTATTTATAGTGCAGTCCACATATGGTCACTGCTAAATGTCAAATCAGCAGTCTTATAGTTACAGTTTGGAACTAGTGGAGTCCACAGATCTAAACAGATATGCAACATGAACTCAATTATACACTCCTAAATCCCAAGAGAAGCAAAGTAAACATCAGCAACTGGAGTTTGAAAACTTATATTAATTTTTAAAAAACCACTCAGTCAACCTAACAACTATAAAGACAGGATTTAGTCAGGTAGAACAAAGACCAACTAATGGCTGATGGGTAGTTTTACTTCCAACTGCGACAGTGACAACATATTGTACTATGATGCAGGCATTTTGCCTCTGTGTAGCTATAATCATGCCCCCATCTCACTTGTCATATTCTATGACAAAGGTCATAAAAAAACCATATATCCTAAATCACACCAAACAGTTCTTGGAACTATGGTGGAATTCTAAACTGAGCTTTGGCTTTAGATTTAAGTTTTGCTTTCTAAATACTTGATCCTTATAAATGAAGAGGAAATAAAGGCTGGGACCTAAAAAAATTATGAAGCAATAACTTAAAAATCATGTTCCATAAAGGGTTTTTTTGGTAGTAAGGGCAAACATTAATATTTTCCATCTTCTCTGCAATTCAGATAATCAAGTTGTCTGGCAATTCTTTCATAATTTTCTTAGAACAGAGTTTTATTTTTGACCAAAAATTTCATTGAAAGATATTTGGTTGATTGAAATAAAGCAGGGGAAATAAAACTTTTTAAGAAAGATTATGAAATTCTTTACAAATGCTGGATTTTGAGGTGTTTTCAACACTTCCTGATTGAAACTGAAACGTGCATCATCTATCTCACTAACAAGTCTAGGCTTCAGCAGCTTACTAAAAGCATAATGCATTACTGAATCTTTGTACTGAGTCTTTGTATTTCATTCCCCATCTTGCCAGTTTACAACAGGCTTACCCTATTCCCAAAGGAAAAGACCTTAATCCTATACTCACAATAACCCTTCACCCAGGCATATTTCTTGGCACAAACCTGTGCAGAGATTTCCACGGTTACCAGCTGCTGCAGATTACCTTTGTTTAAAAAAAAAAAAATGACTAGACCTTTAGCTCCTGCAGTGATCTGTAGACTCCCAAAGCTGCATATTTCCAGCCACTTTTGAGTTGCATGCTGTAGCAAAACAGTCAGCACCTCTCAATAGATATTGCTGCAGAGAAAGATTTTAATTCAGCAGAGACTCTATGTGTGAGAAGCAATGCCATTTCCCCCTAAGAACAAGAGAGCTAAATATAGCCAGCCAGCCATATAACTAGTATATATTTATTTGGTGGGAATTCCTTAGATGATAGGGTTCTTCCTTTTCTGGCGGGGAGGGAGGGATTGATACCACACTACCAACCTTCATGCCAATTGTTTTAGCAAAAGTTTCTTAAAACCTTTCTTTACAAACTTTCATTTTGTCCCCAAGTGATTTCGTAAGAGAAATAAACTCCTTCTTGTCTTGTGTGTCCCACTTCTACCTAACGCAACGTAAGCTATGAAGCTCCTCCTCCTCCTACCTAAACTACCACATTGAAAATAATATTTACTTACATATTTCAGGAATAAATTTTCATTAGAGGTATAATTAATATACATCTCTGAACATACACTTATTTATTTAAAAAAATCAAATATCCAGTCTGAGTACTATGTCATTCGCTATTTTAAGTGGAGAAGATAATACCAGTCAAGAAATAAGGCATATATCAATTCCACTCCTACTCTGAGATTACTCAACAATGATTACTCAGACGGTCTTCTGATAGCATTCTTTCTATGACATATGCTAGAAAAAATCCTGCACAGTGTGAGAGGAAAAACAGCATTAGTCTCACATGCCGAAGGAGTGAATTTTCCAAAAACCTTAAAATACAAGCCTAAAATGCTTTAAAAATGTTAAATATTATTTACTTTAGAGCTTTTTAAAAATCTCGGAGTATAGCAATAATGAATACTAAGCTGTAAATGTAGTCTAATTAAACTCCCTACTACTGCTGAATCAGAGTACCCACAGAATTTTATAGCTTATTTAAGGATATTAATTATATATACCTTGTAGATATGGTACTTGGGTCTTGCTTCTGACAACTATCTATTCTTAAACTATGACCCCAAAAAACATTTAAATAAAATGGAAAAACTAAATTATGTTTCGAGTATAAAATGCTAGTCTAGCCAGCCTACAGATTTCACTGTAAAATTCTGCCTTGTGATAACTCCCAAGGTGACATAGAACAAGGCACAAACTTCAGTGATTTTTAACTTAGCAATATGGGCTTGGCATTTTATCCTCAAGTCAAAACACAAGATTGGGCTTTCAGCATAAGATCAGATGTGAATTCTCCCTCTGCAGCATTATCACATGCGTCATCAATTACTGCCATGCCTAAGTCTAGCATCATGCCAGCACATTAAGACAGAAGGTACTATATGCAGTGTTCACTGGACCAGAAGAACAGAAATAAGAAGGGGAGGTGGGGGAGAAAGAAACCCTAGAGAAGAAATTAAAAAAAGGCAGACCGTGCAATACAAACCAGATCATGGCTGCTTAGCTAATATGGGCCAACTGCTGTGGAAGAAAAATGTCGAACACCCCAAGTTGTGTAAATTTCTGTAAACATCTAAACACACACACAAACACACACACAACACCAACCTAATTAGGAACATAAATATATGTTGATCCTTTACTATGTTACAGTTTTGAAAATAAAAGCTCAAATTAAAATATCTGTACTCTCTAAACTGCCTTATTTTCCTGAGGGAGGAGAAGAAGCTAGTGTTTCTTAAAGAAGGGAAATGTCTTCACTGCTATAAAGATTAGGATTTCCTCTTTGAGCATTTTCACTCAAGTTTACCAATAACTCACTGAAACCCTTAATAAGTACATTTAAGCACAAATATTAAATACTGACAATACTGACAAGTTTAGACATTTTAACAATGAACTGTGTAATTTAAAAATAAAGGGCTTTTCAAAATGGAAATAATGTTCAAAAATTAAGATTTTTTTAAAAAGTATGAGTCAGGAAAATAAATCTCCTTGTTCTATTGCTTTATATCAATATCCAAAACTAAGCCATGTAAAAGGATAGAATCAGCTTTTCACAAAAACCAGACATCTCTTAAGCTACCAAATTTATCATGTTTCATAAGTGTCTGGTAAATATATTAGTCCTTAAATGTTCCTAATGGAACATTTCACACATGACTGTGTTGTCCAGGAAAGGTGTAGCTTTTAAAGGATCAAAATACATTTTACTCCTTTATTCAATTTACAAAAACACTGAACTTTAACTTGCTATCTCTAATAGAATATGAGTAAGGGCCAAAATGATATTTTTCCATCAAATTCTAAGTTGTTTCTAGATCTTTCAGACTGATTTCCCAAAATATTAAACATTAGATTACAACCCAAACTCTATTTGATTACTGTAGGGCATGCAAGAAAACAGCTCTAAACTGTACTGTAAATTATTAATAAGTTTAAATTCATTCACATCAAGTGTCACACGAACACTACCTAACTAACTATGACCCAAAATTAAGCACTGATCTTATAGGCTTACCGATTCTATAGGCTTGTCAAGTGATGCTTGTTCAATTTCCAAATGTCCTTCTTCATACTGATCAAAGTGATTACCCTGAAAAAACAAGACTACAGTTATTTTCCAAAAGCAATAAATGCCAAAATTATGAATAATCTAATCCAACTAGGGGTTATTTTTAACTTTTCATTCTTTTTCAGTAGACAATCAAAACTGTGCCATAATTTCAGACTTTTCTAAATCTATAAAAAACAATCTATCAGAAGTCTAGGCCTAGTAAGAGAAATTCTATGATAAACATTGAAACTGCTAACTAAAATACTATCAACCATTTGGGATTATCAACTCTTTATCTTAGAGATAATATCATAGACACTGTAGAATCTTAAAAACGCCTGGGTGGCTCAGTTGGTTGAAGGTCACTCTTGGTTTTGGCTCAGTTCATTAATCTCACTGTTCGTTGAGTTGAGTCCCACACTGAGCTCTGCACTGACAGTGCAGAGCCTGCTTGGGATTCTCTCTCTCCACTCCTCCTGTGCTCTCTCTCTCTCTTAATAAATACATAAACAAACCATTTCTTTTAGCTTTTCGTAAACAATCTTGTACAAAAGAAGATAAATCATAATAATAGGGGGTGCCTGGGTGGCTTAGTCGGTTAAGCGTCTGACTTTCGCTTAAGTCATGATCTCGCGGTTCGTGGGTTCGAGCCCCGCGTCAAGCTCTGTGCTGACTGCCAGCTCAGAGCCTGGAGCCTGTTTCAGTCTGTGACTCCCTCTCTCTCTGGCCCTCCCCTGCTCACGCTGTCTCTCTCTCTCCTAGAAATAAATAAAACATTAAAAAAAAATCCTAATAATAGAAGAATGCAAATAAAAATCTGTATTCTAATACTGTTCAATGTTGGTAACATTGCTTTTAAACTAAAACTTCTAAAACATGCAACTTTAAATCAAGTGCTAACTCCCAAGTTTCAAAGAATCTAAAAACACAATCTCTTGACACAGTATTCTAAATACCATTCCTCAAATGATTTGCCAAGAGAGATAAATATATCTGTATAATGCCATATTTGACCATAATGAAGCAAGCAGTCATTGCAACTAAAGTCAAAATAGTTCAACTGAGGATAGACACAGACAACTAGGAAGTTCTCTCTATTCAGGTTTTCTCTGATCTCCCTACTCCATTAGCAAATAATAGCTCATAATTTGGCTTTAAAACAGAATATCAACTTTCTGGTTCCCTTTCTGTTACAAAAGAGGGCATGATGATTTGTGAGTCCTGAATTGACCTAAATCAAAAGACGAAAGCCTTCAGTCTAGCCTATGTTAATTCAGTGTGTGGAGTGTTAGGGCAACTTGAATGTTACCAAAAAGTTACTTTGCTTTTTCAATGTAAAATTTTACTTGAATCAATCTTAACCCAATCTTGAACATATAATATGCCACGCTGTATCAAAACTGCTGGTTTACTTGTTTCCCTCATCAGACTGTAAAGTCCTTAAGAACAAGAACTAAATTTTGTTTATCTTACAACCCTAAAACTTAACACAGTGGCTAAACATTAGAGAACAATTAGGTGCTAAAATTGTGTGGCAGTGATGAAAAAGTTCTGGAATTAGACAGTGGTGGTGATAATGGTTGTACATTGTTAATATACTTAATGCCACTGAACTGTAAACTTTAAAATAGTTAAAATGGTAACTTGTATGTTGTATGTATCTTAGCACAATAAAAATGATAAAAATAAAAATAAAATTGTGTAGAATATATCCAAAAGAAGAAAGGAGTAACAGGACAGAAATAGTTTTTCCAAAGAAAAAGAGCAAATTTTTTTTTTAATTTTTTTTAATTTTTTTTTTTATTTATTTCTAGGAGAGAGAGAGAGACAGCGTGAGCAGGGGAGGGCCAGAGAGAGAGGGAGTCACAGACTGAAACAGGCTCCAGACTCTGAGCTGGCAGTCAGCACAGAGCCCGACGCGGGGCTTGAACCCACGAACCGCGAGATCATGACCTAAGCGAAAATCAGACGCTTAACCGACTAAGCCACCCAGTCGCCCCGAAAAAGAGCAAATCTTAAAAATGGAGATGCAGGCATTCCAATAATGAGAAAAAGTACGGGCACCTGGGTGGCTCGGTCAGTTAAGCATCTAACTCTTGGTTTGGGTTCAGGTCATGACCTCACAGTTTCATGAGTTCGAGCCCCACACTGGGCTCTGTGGTAATAGCAGAGCCTGCTTGGGATTCTCTCTCTGCCCCTCCCACAGTCTCTCTCTCTCTCTCTCTCTGTCAAAATAAATAAATAAATAAAACTTAAAAGAAAAAAAGAGTGAGGAAAAGCAATCAACAAATACTAAAAATGAAAAAATAATAGCTACAATCTCTGAAAGTCTCTCTTAATCTCCAATAATTTTGTCCAACAATCTCTTTAAAATTAACACTTGCCTCTTAACTTTTAAAGCAACATTTAAAAGTTTAGAAACAATTACTTAAATGGTATTAATACCAACAATTAGTGGATACTATCTTGAAAGTAAATATCTTTACAGTATTTAATTAATTAGGACAACCATGTTGGTTTGTTTAAGTTTACTTATTTATTTTTGAGAGAGCGCAGGGGGGCAGAGAGAGAGAGGAAAGATAGGATCCCAAGCAGGCTCCACACTGTCATTGCAGAACCCGACACGAAGCTTGAACTCAGAACCCTGAAATCAAGGTGCCCCATGCTTCACAAATTGCTAAAACTAGCCGGCTAAGTTTTCAATCATTCTGGATCTATCAGACACAATACAAAACAAGAGTAATAATACAGTTTGAGTCCAGAAAAAGGCCCATACATTTATGAATAACTTATCTTCAACAAAGGTGCAAAGACAATTCAATAGAGAAATAATAGTATTTTCAGTAAATGGTGCTACAATTCAGTATCCATACACACACACACACACACACACACACACGAAGAAAAATAAATGAGCCTCAATCCATACTGCACACAATTAAAAACTAAAAACCCAAAATGTATCACAGACCTAAATGTAAAACCTAAAATTATAAACTTTCTAGAAGGAAATACATTGAAGAAAATCTTTGTAACCTTGGGCAAGACAAAGGTTTCCTAAGCTACACTGCCAAAAGTGTAATCTATAAAAGAAAAAAATTGAAAAACTGGGCTGCAGGGTGCCTGGGTAGCTCAGTCAGTTAAGTGTTCGACTTTTGATCTCAGCTCAGGTCTTGATCTCAGGGTTGTGAGTTCAAGCCCCCCCACTGGGCTCCACACTGGGCATCGAGCCTACTTATTTAAAAAAAAAAAAAGAACAAAACAAAAAAACTGGGCTGGGAGAAAGTACTCACAACTCTCATAGCTCATGGAGGATTTGTATTGTAATTCTAAAATATACAATAAACTTTCAAAACACAGTAATAAGAAAACCCAATTTTTCAACTGGGCAAAAGATTTAAACAGACACTTCACCAAACATGATATACAGACAGCAAGTAAACACTCAACATCATTATCATTAAGGAAATAGAAACTAAAACCACAAGATGATACCACTACACATCTATTCAAACAGCCTTTTTTTTTTTAAGTTTACTTATTTATTTTGAGAGAGAGAGAGAGAGAAAGAGAGAGAGAAAGAGAGAGAGAGAGAACGAACACAAGCTGGGGGAAGGACAGAGAGGAGAGAAAGAAGAGCCCAATGTGGGGATCGAACTCACAAACTATGAGATCATGACCTGAGCTAAGATCAAGAATGAGACGCTTAAGCAACTAACTGCCACCCAGGCGGACCTCTATTAAAACAGCTTTAAACACACACACACACACACACACACACACACACACACACACACCTAACAATATTAAGTGCTGCAGAAATTGCAAGGAAACTCTCATAGGTTGTTGGTAGGGTGTAAAAGGGTACAGACACTTCAGAAAACAGTTTGGCAGGTTCTTATAAAATTAAACACACACTTAAACAACCCATCAATTCTGTACCCAGGTATTTACCCAAGTAGAAGGAAAAACCTGTGTTCACAGAAAATCCTGTCTTGGGAATGTATGCAAACTAATCAAATGTCCCTCAACTGGGAAATGGATTAAAATACTATGATACACCCATACAATGAACCATTCTTTACCAATAAAAAGAAACAAACTACTCATATAAGCAATAACACGGATGAATTTTAAATGCATTATGCTAAATGAAAGAAACCATACTCAAAAAATCATCGTAGGGGCGCCTGGGTGGCTTAGTCGGTTAAGTGTCCGACTTTCGCTTAGGTCATGATCTCGCGGTTCGTGGATTCGAGCCCCGCGTCAAGCTCTGTGCTGACTGCCAGCTCAGAGCCTGGAGCCTGTTTCAGTCTGTGACTCCCTCTCTCTCTGGCCCTCCCCTGCTCACGCTGTCTCTCTCTCTCTCCTAGAAATAAATAAAACATTTAAAAAAAAATTTTTTTTAAATTCATTGTATAATTCCATTTATATGGCATTCTGGAATAGGCAAAACCAGGGGCTATATACTGACTGCACTGGTGACTACACTATATTTTGTTAAAATTCAAAGAACTATATACTAGGGTGCCTGGGTGCCTCAGATGGTTAAGTGTCCGACTTCAGCTGAAGTCATGATCTCGTGGTTTGTGAGTTCGAGCCTTGCATCAGGCTCTGTGCTGACAGCTCAGAGCCTGGAGCCTGCTTCAGATTCTGTGTCTCCCTCTCTCTCTGCCCCTCCTCCACTTTCTCTCTCTCAAAAATAAACAGTAAAAAAAAAATTTTTTTTAAAGGGTGCCTGGGTGGCTCAGTCGGTTAAGCATCTGACTTCGGCTCAGGTCATGATCTCACAGTTCGTGGGTTCGAGCCCCATGTCAGGCTCTGTGCTGATGGCTAGCTCAGAGCCTGGAGCCTGCTTTGGATTCTGTGTCTCCCTCTCTCTCTGACCCTCCCCTGCTCACGCTGCCCTTCTCTCTCAGATATAAATAAAACATTTAAAAATTTTTAAAAATATTTTAGAAACTGTACACTAAAATTAATTTCCCTGTATCTTAATTATACTTTGCTTTTTAAGTAAAAAAGCAAAAAGCCAGTATTTC